TTCTGGTGGAACCGACCTTCGAATCTTTTCACCAAACACTTCTACTCGAAATGGAAGTAAGCCCAACAATGCACTTAATCTTGTTTCTCAAAAGGCATTATCATCTCGGTCTCATCTATACTCCCTGAAGGAGTAGAACCCGGGTGGAGGTAGTACAAAGTATAATTTTGACATGCATTCACTACGCCACACTGTAACGAGGGCACTTCGGTCGCAAGGCACAAGGTGACTTCAAGGCAAGCTAGACCTTTTTCATATCACATTCGTCGCTAAAAAGAGCATGTATTTGTAATCATAGTTGACGAGGTTGGCAGAGTGCTATCTTCTTTGACTTGCCAGTAAATCAAGAGAAACTATTTATTCTAGAAAAATAGTGTTGCGTTCAAATAATTATGTGAAGCAGTTCAAGAAGACGAAGATTTGGCGCCTCCTATGATTGGCTTAATAAGAGACGCATATCCAGGCGGCTTGATACGAAAGCAAAAAATGCATTAAAACGCAATTGTAAAAAGCTTACGGCATAGTTCCTTTTGTAATCGGCGCAGTTTCGTAGCAGTGCGGTATGTAGGAATCCGAATAGCATTAAAGTCTTGAAGTGTTTGCATCAGATCTGTCATGATCGGATGATCCCATTGTGTCTCCTGGGTTGAATGGCTGATCAAAAGAGGATAATCGGAGTGGTGCGGAGATGAGTGGAAATTACAAACAATAAGATAGTGCGTACCAAACAAAAGAGTGACATGTATAAAGGAAGCCATTATTAGAAAAATGTCAAATGGATTTGGTGGTGCTCGTTTGGCTATTGCTAACCCGGTGAGTCCATACAGCACTTTTGTCTATTCCGCCAGGACAAGCGGTTTCAAAGTCTGAAATACTTCTCTAACGAACTTAATCAAACTTCACGCCAAACAAGCCGTTGGTATAATTATGAATAAAATTGAGTTTAGAATAATTCCTTGATTTATTGTGACACTTTGAAGGAAAAGGTAATTAGAAGGAATTCGTAAAATGGACTTGCGAAGAAGTCCTCGCTCCACAATCCTGAGACTTCGATGAACTTGCGCTAAGCTTTCGCCTGTACTGCCATGACAGACATCATCAGAATCCATACTTTACGAAATAGCACACAAAAGACAATAAACCAAGATAATAAAAGTGACCCCAAACAATGACACTCCCTTTATTATGCCTAACTTTGTTATTTTAATGGGATATCCTATGACTTGGTTCGCTATTTCATGCCTAACATACTTTCATACAGATGGCAAAGGTTGATCCATCAAAAG